TTAAAAAAAACTATAATGTGATAAAATTGGCTTTAACAAAAGTAATGGTGACAATAAACTTGGTCACCTATTGGCACTAATACTTTATTGCTAAAAAAAAAAAAGGAAAATGAAAAATAAAAACACTGCAAACTGAATAGCCGTCTTATTAAGTCATAATATAAAAAATAAGTCTCTATTTGCAATCTTATAAAAGTATTATTTGGATAATTTTTCTTTACAGAATGATTGAATCATGACCAAATATAGAATAATTGTATAATAGCGTGTGTTAAAGAGATTGATTTTTTTTCTTAATAAATGAAAAGATTATATAGCTGATGTGGATAATGACCCGAGTCTATCAATGCTATTGTTTATTTTGATTCATGGTTTTAAAAAGTGCCAATAAAGAACGGTCCGCTTCGACTAAATGGTATTGAACTCTGGATTAGGACTGTTTACCTTCAGTGGGTTGCACGTTCGAACCCCACGAAATCCCTTTTTCCCCTCCCCCAATTAACTCTATAAATAATTACAAATTGTTCGAAAAAAAAAAAGTGCCAATAAAAATTATTAAGTGTTGAATTATATATTTAATATTTTTTATGCATAAATATGAGATTTATTTAGAGTGATTGTATCACTAAAATGATATAAGTTAAATCTCATGCAATTGACATAACAACTCTTTAAATTAAGACTCATAGACTTAAAAAGCTTAATTTTAAGTTATTAGCAACTTAGTAATAGTTAATCATTTAATTGTCAATTCACTTATACTTCCTTTCTAATGTAGGATTCAAGACATCATACTATCCTAACAATTAGTCTAAAGTTTATGAGTTTTTAAAAATTTAAATTCGAATTATATATTAATAATAATTAATTATTTATATATCAGATTCATTTGTATTTTTTTTATATGAGATTCAAGACACTATATTTATCAATGATCTATTCCTTATTAATTATATAATCCAACGTGGAACAACGTACTAAAAAAACAAGTAATAGTTATATGCATCTTAATATTGTGCAGCTAAAAACCAAGGCTAGCAAATTATTAAGGTCGTACATGTGTGCTTGTATACCTAAATTCCAATGAAAAGTGCTGTTCTAAATCGTACAAGTACAGAATTTACATTTACATGGGGAAAAAAAGATGTAATGGGACTCTAGATATGGGCCTATTATTTATTTTAACAAAAATATGGGCCAATACTGGTGCCACTACAGTTTCTTCAATTAATTTGATACTGTAGAAATGGGAACTTTTTTTATTTAGTTGTCTGCAGTTATTGGATGGATCCGTCTGAAAAGAAGCTTCATTGTGTATCTTCTAAATTCTGATCTTTGTACAAATAATCGATATATATTTACTATTAAATAAAATAAAAAATG